AAGGAACACTGGAAGAATGAATGTCTGGAGGACAATGAGGGAAATGACAGAGGCTATAAAACTAGAAGACTGCCAGCCAAGGGCTACCGTATCCCAAAGGAGCCAGATGCCGACCTTCTCGGGCTGGCAGAGACTGAAGGGTATAAAGACTAGGCAAGACTGGGCTCCATCTCCTTAGGCCCCCAGGAGCCCATGGTCACACTGGAAGTAGGGGGGCAACTGATGGACTTTATGGTAGACACAGGGCTGAACACTCAGTAGTGACACAGCCCATAGGGCCACCATCCAAACATCATGCAACTACTGTTGGAGCTACAGGGGTCCCAGAGAAGAGGCCATTTTGCCAGCCTAGGAGGTGTATCATAGAGGGAAGAGAAGTCCAACATGAATTCCTATAACTCCCAAGTTGCCCAGTTCCCTTGCTGGGAAGAGACCTGCTCCAAAAACTGCAAGCACAGATTGCTTTTGGTCCACAAGGGGATATGACTTTAAGTCTGACTTACCCAAGGGCCATGGTGTTAACTCTTACCATCCCACAGGCTGAAGAATGGAGACTGTACATCAAGGGGTTACCAGAACTGGGACTGGATGAACTGGATGGGCTGCTTTGTAAGATTCCTGAAGAATGGGCCTAAGATAACCCACCTGGGCTGGCTGTAAACGAGGTGCCAGTGACAGTAGAGCTAAAATTGGGAGCAACACCAGTCAGGTTCATCAATACCCACTACCCCAAGAAGCCATACAGGGCATTCAAGGACATTTGAAGTGGCTCTTGGAACATGGAATCTTAGCCCGATAACAGTCATCCTGGAACACTCCACTTTTGCTGGTACGAAAACCAGGGAGTAATGAATATAGACTGGTGCAGGACTTGCATGCTGTAACTGGTGCAGTTTACAGACCAGTGCAGGACTGAATGAATGAATACAGACCAGTGCAAGACTTGCAGGCTACTGTAACCATCCACCCAATGGTACCAAACCCATACACATTGATGGGACTCATTCCAGCTAATGCCACCTGGTTTGCTTGTCTGGATTTAAAAGATGCTTTCTTCTGCCTTCACCTGCCACCAATAAGTCAGCCCATTTTTGCATTTCAGTGGGAGGATCCAGTCACAGGCACAAAGGAACAACAGCTCACCTGGACTAGACTCCCACAAGGATTAAAAAACTCTCCCACAATCTTCGGAGAGGCACTGGCTGCCGACCACAATATGTGGATGACCTCCTTCTGACGGCCCCAACCCACAAGGATTGCTACAGAGGAACCCAAGGCCTCCTCCATCTCCTATAGAAGGCTGGATATAAGGTGCCCAAGAGAAAAGCTCAAATTTGCCAACAGAATGTCAAATATTTGGGCTTCATAATGACCCAAGGGGAATGCCAGCTAGGCATTGAACGAAAACAGACTGTTTGTGCACTCCCAATTCCAACTCCGGCACCAGATAAGAGAGTTCTTTGGGATCCTGCCGTATCTGGATCCCAAATTTCTCACTTATGGCCAAGCCCTTATATGAAGCCACAAAAGGTAGGGAAAGGGAGACCCTCCTCTGGGAGGCTGATCAAGAAAGGGCATTTAAACAAATCAAAGACGCCCTAACTCAGGCCCCGGCCTTAGGACTGCCAGATATAACTAAGCCTTTCTTTCTATATGTCCATGAATGAAAGGGAACGGCTATAGGAGTCCTGACTCAAGTCATAGAATATAGAATCATTGCATTGCCCGATGCCATATCTATCCAAACAACTGGAGTCCGTGGTGCTAGGGTAGCCTCCTTGCCTTAGGACACTAGCTGCCACCACCATACTGACACAGGAAGCTGACAAATTGACTTTAGGGCAACAACTGACTATTAGGGTACTGCACTTGATTCTAACTTTAATGGATCAGAGAGGGCACCATTGGTTATTGAATCCAAGGATGACTCAGTACCAGGGGCTCCTATGTGAAAATCCCCACATAACTTTAGAAACAGTAAACACCCTTAACCCAGTCACCTTCCTCCCAATCGAACTGGGAGCCCCTCTTCATAACTGTGTGGAAACAGTAGATGAGGTATTCTTGAGCCAGGGAGATCTCACGGACCACCCCCTTAGAGATCCAGATGTTGAATACTTCACAGATGGAAGCAGTTTCATACTGGAAGGGGTCTGCTGGACTGGGTATGTGGTAGTAACATTGGACTCAATGGTGGAGGCCCAGCCTCTGCCCACTGGAACATCAGCCCAGAAGGCAGAACTAATAGCCCTGATGAGGGCCTGTTTGCTGGCGAGGGGCAAAAGGGTTAATGTTTATACTGATTCCAAATATGCCTTCACCATGTTGCATGTTCATGGAGCTATACATAAGGAGAGAGAACTCTTAACTGCTGGGGGTAAAGAAATAAAGTATAAGGAGGAAATTCTACAACTCTTAGATGCTGTATGGGCCCTGAAGGAGGTAGCTGTGACACACTGCAGGGGGAACCAAAGGGCAGGAACACTGGAGGCCAGCCCAAAGGAAACAAAAAGGCAGACAGGGAAGCAAAACGGCAGCTATGACCACTCCGCATCTTAGGGAAGAAGCCCTAGCTATGCCCCTCCTCCCAAAGCGTCCCCTCCCGGAGGTCCTGAGTTACTCTCCAAATGCAAAGGCCTGGTTTGGTCGAGAATCTGGAAAATACACTGAGGGAGGATGGTGGAGATTCTCCAGTGGTAAACTAGCCATCCCTGAAATGGTGGCCCCCAAATTTGTAAAACAATTCCATCAAAGAAATCATATGGGGAAAACAGCACTAGAAGTGCTACTGGGACACCATTTCTATGTACCACAGCTCACAGCCATCACCTGAGCTGTTTGTGAACAATGTCTAACTTGTGCCCAGAACAACCCATGACGAGGGCCTACTTGGCCCCCAGGGATTCAGGAAATGGGAGCCACACCCTGTGAAAACCTACTTATGGACTTCACCAAGCTTCCCCGAGCAGAGGCTATCAGTACATGCTAGTACTCATCCGCACCTTTTCGCCATGGGTCGAGGCTTTCCCCACCCAAACAGAAAGCACGAGAGGTGATTGTTAAGAGACATTATCCCCAGATTTGCACTGCCCCTGACTCTAGGTTCAGACAATATACCAGCATTTGTAGCCAAAATAGTTCAGGAACTAACATGGCTGTTAAAAATAAAGTGGAAATTACACACAGCCTACTGGCCACAGAGCTCAGGAAAAGTGGAGCACATGAACCAGACACTCAAACAGCTACTAAAGAAATATTGCCAGGAAACTCATCTGAGATGGGATCGTGTCCTGCCCATGGTCCTCTGAGTCAGGTGCATCCCCACCAAACAAACTGAGTGTTCACCCCATGAGATTTTGTTCGGCCGGCCACCCCCATCATAGGTCAAATTAAGGGTGATGTCCGTGAACTAGGGGAAGGGGAATTGACCTTGAGAAGGCAAATGCAGGCCTTAGGGATAGGCATGCAAGGTGTCCATGGCTGGATACAGCAGAGAATACCCATAAGCCTGACAGACCCAGCATGCCCCCTTTAAACCCGGGGACTCTGTTTGGGTCGAGAAATGGAATCCAACCACTCTGGGACCCATATGAGAGGGCCCCCATACTGTGATCTTGTCCACTCCCACTGCTATTAAAGTTACAGGAATTGTGCCTTGGATCCACCACAGTCGGCTAAAACCAGCAATCCAAAGCAAGTGGACCAGCCAACAGGACCCAGACCATCCAAGCTGGCTGATCCTACAACGGAGTTGCCATTAGGGATGATGACAGCTCTGCTCTGGTCACTCTGGAAGCTGACTTGTCTATGCATGGCTGAAGCTTGAGGAGGCAACAGCCCTGCTTCAGTCACCCCAGAAGCAGACTAGTCTATGCACAGCCGAAGCTAGAGTGGAACATGCAAGTATGTCAACAATACATACTTCTTTTTCTCCTAACTATAATACTTCCCTTATCCGTGTTGGGAGAGGGACCCATAGAAGGATGCCCCCCCGCGCTCATACTATGGGGTCAGGGAGCACCACAACCAGAACCCTGTTGTACCACACTTATTATGAGTGTACAGGGACCCCCTGGGGAACTTGTACACACAACCAGACAACCTACTCAATCTGTGACCCAGAAAATGGCCAGCCTTGTATATGTTATGACCGTAAGTCCTCACCTTCTGAAGCCTGGTTTAAAGTTTATGTTGGGTCAAAAGAAGGAAGACTTCTGAACCAAACCAAGGTACCTCCCTCCCAGGGGGAGGTCATTTCCTTATATTTTGATGCCTGCCAAGCAACATACATAGGTCCCTATCCTGTAGTCTCCTGTGGTAGCCTATCATGGGACAGATACTATAGTAACTGTCACAAATATATATGTGCTCTAAGGAAAGGAACCTCTCAATAGGGAGCCCCTCTTTGCTTCCCCTACTCCCCAGAAAAAGACTGACAGGACTGCACAACATGGTCCACAGACCCTGTGGAAAGTTCAAGAACACCACAGGGGGTAGTAACTCTTACCACAATGCTGGTAAAACCAAATTGTAAGATGAAAACTTGCAATCCTTTAAATTTCACCATCTTAAAGCCAGATCGGACCATATGGACTACAGGTTACCCCATGACATTACAGATCAGCAGTCAGGAAACAGACCTAGGAGTCTATTTATATATTATCAAAAAAAAAAAAAAAAAAAAAAACAAAACAGATTAAGCATTCAACCCAACAATGTCGAGTTTTTGAGTCATTCCATGAGCATATCCACCAGGAGTTGCCTAAACCCTTTCCCTTAGCCAGAAACCCGTTCACCCAACTGGCTGAAAACATAGCCAGCAGCTTACACATCTCCTCATGCTACGTTTGTGGGGGAACCACTATGGGGGACCAATGGCCATGGGAGGCAAGAGAGCTGATGCCCGAAGATAACTTCACTCTGACTGTCTCTTCCCCTGAACCTCTGTTCACGAGCCTGAGTATTTGGCTCCTAAAAACCTCTGTTATGGGTAAGTCCTGCATTGTTCACTAGGGAAAAGACTTTACAGATCCAGTAGGAGAGTTAACCTGCCTAGGACAATAACATTACAGTGAAATGCTAGGAAAGACTTTGTGGTGGGGCAGAAAGAATGATTTCAAATCACCCCACCCAGGTTCATTCTCCCGTTTCCCCTCTTTAAACCACTCTTGGTACCAACTTGAAGCTCCAAATACCTGGCAGGCACCCTCTGGCCTCTGTTGGATCTGTGGACTGCAGGCATATTGGCAGCTGCCAGTTAATGGTCAAGGGCCTCCTGTCCCATTGGTCTCTCCTGTCCCTTGATTCCCACAACACAGACACTTCTTTATTCAGCCAGTAAGTCAACTAGAGCAATTCTGTTATTTATCATAATGTTCACAAAAGAATTTAAAGTCTGTTTTGTAACCATAGCCTTGACAGTAGAATCCGCTATAGAACCTATCATGAGGGATAAATTTCTAATCATTGCTTCATTTACTCCAAACCATGGAAAAAAAGGACTTAACAAATGATGCTCTTTAGAAGAGTGAAGGCCTCCTGGCAATGTTCTCTTTAACCCATGATGTAGGTAAGACTAGTGCATCAATGTTTTGTTTCTGACTGATGATGAGTATGTACCACAGAAATTTCTCACCCACATTGGACCTTCATCTTCCATATATCAAAATATAAGATTAATCATGTATAAGGCTGGCTGCAAAATCTTTCGCAAGTAAAAGTAAACCCCATGAATTCACCAAACAAACCTCCTTTTCACTTCTACTGTTCACAGAGGCATAAGCAAGGAAAAAAATTGAAAGAATCTCATAATAGTAGAGAAATCTTGATCTGTGATCTTGGGAAAAAGCTGTCCACATCAGAGATGCCTTCTTCTGGGAAAAAACTTCCCTGTTTAGCTTTATCTTAAGGTTTCCAATAGGTGTACAGTTCCAAGAATGTAGAGGGACCCTTCCAAGTTGTGAGATTATGAACCCAAAACTTCGGTTCAAGGTCCTGAAGTTTTGCTGCAGTGTGGATGGCAAGAACAGTCTTTCTCTGTTGTTCTCAGAAGATCCAATCTTCAGGTTCTAGATTGTGAAGAGGTTGATTTTCCCCAGTCAATAGATCATGAAGAGGTTGATTTTCCTCAGTGAGTAGACTACGTATTTTTTTACCTGGTGAAAATATAGATACTTTTGTAAAGTGAGCTACCATTACTGTTACAACTGCTCTCTTGCATGGGGAAGTTTTTACACAACCAGAAAACATGCACTGAAAATGACAATTGGCCAGGCGCGGAGACTCACACCTGTAATCCCAGCACTTTGGGAGGCCAAGACAGGTGGATCATCTGAGCTCAGGAGTTCAAGACCAGTCTGGGCAACATGACAAAACATCATCTCTACCAAAAATACAAAAAATTAGCCAGGCACAGTGGTACATGCCTGTGGTCTCAGCTACTCATGAGACTGAGGTGGGAGGATCACTTGAGCCTGGAAGGCAGAGGTTGCAGTGAGCCAAGATCGTATCACTGCACTCCAACCTGGGTGACAGAGTGTGACCCCATCTCAAATTAAAAAAAAAAAGAAAAGAAAACGACCATTGAATAAAATCCGTCTATAAATATTTAAATGGCCTATCAGATAGCAGAATGTACCTAAAGTTTTGATTGTCTTCCCAGGGATATGGATTTGGCAAACCAAACATTGGTCATAAACTATTTTAGCAATTTAGAAGTCACTACACCAAAATATATTTAGTTTGGATAACTTTTAATAACAAAAGCTTTAAGGACTCAGGAAGAACAAGGCAGCCGTCCTGGTTCTCTATGAGTCCATGCTCAACATTGGACTTATGTCCCCTTGAACACCAGCTGTTTCTCCAATTTAGGTGCATAGCACTGAAAACTGATGTGTTATCATAGGTAATTTTACTTAGACCATAGAGTTCACTCAAATTGTATATCTAAACTATTTCAGTACTGGCTGATTTAGATAAACCAGCCAGTCTCCACTAAAGTTACAGGGATTCTTACCCAGTCCAAATGATATGATTCTAAAGCTATCAGAAACCTGTATTCAAGAGTGTTTCTCAGGCTCCTTTTCATCCTTTCATAAACCTCCATAAAGACACCATATTCTAGGATTTTGTGTACTTGTGAGGTTTCCAGAAACTGCAATTAACTGTGGAAATGACTTTAAATAGTCACAGTTAAAGACACAATTGACAAGGAAATTTGTTTATATATGTGGATTACAATAACTCAACATAATAACCGTAATTATAATTGCTAATATATACACAGACATGTTAGAATTCTAGAAATCCCATATAATTTTGGAAAATATATTAACAACATTCATTAAAATTTAACCTGAAGAAGGCTAAACAGCATTTTTTATTTGACAATGCTTCATGTAACTTAACCTGTCAAATAATCCTATTTACCTCTCTTTTGGATGTTTCGGGGTCCTCTGGAGCATCCCAAAGTTAGAAGTCAAATAAGACTTGATTTTGAAGCTGAAATTACGTTTCAGGAAGCCTATAAAATATGTCAAAGGTTTAAAACACTTGAACAAAATAGGATCACAAATCACTATAAAACAAGTCATTCATTTAACCAAAGTGAAAATTAACAGATTTTTAAAAACAAAAACCTGTACTCTTTGATAAAGGAGACTCAGTTTTCCAAACAATCAAAAGACCTAAGACAGCATGAGACAGAATCTCTCTTTTCTTCTCTCCTTTTTTTTTTTTCTTTAAATTTTTGCAGTTTACTCAAAGGATGAAGAGAAATATTTTAGTGTCTTATTAATACTACACAAAATTTTTGTTCAAAAGAGAAAACCACATTTTACTTTTGGATTTGTGTATTATCCATCCTAAAATTGATTTTAATAATCCTCATTAATTTATCAAATCGGTCATCTTTTTTTTTCTATTTTATTTTTCTATTTTTCTTTTATTGTTTTTAATTTCCATCTACTCCTTGTGGAGAATCTGTCATCTTTTAACCACACAAGGTTTCCATAAACCTTTCATTTTACATTTATTCCCCAACTTCCTTTTTTAAAATTTATTAACTTATTTATTTTTAAAATTTTATTTTATTTTCTGGGATACATGTACAGGATATGCAGGTTTGTTACATAGGTAAACACGTGCCATGGTGGTTTGCTGCACCTATAAACCCATCACCTAGGTATTAAGACTTGCATGCATTAGCTATTTATCCTGATGCTCTCCCTCTCCCTGTCCCCATGACAGGCCCCAGTGTGTGTGGTTTTCCTCCCTGTATCCATGTGTTCTCACTGTTCAGCTCCCACTTCTAAGGGAGAACATGCAGCGTTTGGTTTTCTGTTCCTGTGTTAGTTTGCTGAGGATAATGGCTTCAGCCCCATCCATGTCCCTGCAAAGGACATGATCTCATTTCTTTTTATGACTGCATAGTATTCTATGGTGTATATGTACCACATTTTCTTTATTCAGTCTATTAATGATGGGCATTTGAGTTGATTCCATGTCTTGCCAACTTTCTACATTCATCTTGTTTCATCTATTTTTATACTCCTTCAATTGAAACCTTTAAGTAACTTCAAACCAAACAAAAATTTTTTAACACGCATACCTTTATAATTTTCTTCATCAAATGTGTACCCTGCTTTTGTTTATACACTCTGTATACAGAATTGTTTCTCTTATATCTGGTAGTTTTCAACTCTTAGTAACCTTAATTTCTAGTGAAAAGCCTAGAAAGTAATTTTGAACAGTTTTATATCAGTATTTGTAGATAATTATTTTGTAATTTTTTAGAAAAATAGCTCTTCAAATGATCATTTATTAACAAATCTAAATATATTTAGCTTTTCTATACCATATAAAAATAACATATCAAGGTATATAGACTTAAACTCATGTGTAACAATTAATACTCAGTATCTTAACTTACAGATGACTCAACATTTTATGACTGTTACCTACTTTAACATAACATGACTCTAAGACTTTAAATTACTAAGAAGAATCTTAAAACTATGACACAGGTAGCCTTCCTAATGTCTTCCTCAAGTCATTCCGGGTCCCAAGTAGCCACATGCCGCCCAGGAGGACAGTGAAGCCTGTCTGAGTCAATCAGGGCAGAAGACAGAGCTGTGAAGACTGTACCTGGAGGGTCCAACCCCTTCTAAAATAGCCGGGAGACACAACAGGGAAAGCAGAGGAAGAAGGGGTAATATTGGGCTTGATTCTGGCTTGTAGCTGACAGTCTAAGCACTAAGAACTTGTCTCCAGACCTCATCATGGCCACCTGTCCAGACCCCTGAATCCAGAGACTCTAAACTAAAGGCATAAGCTCACAGTCAAATCAAGCAACTATCTAATTATATTTAAATGATAATCTTGAAGCCATGTCTGTTTTGCTAACAATCAAAAACTAGCTTTTATTTACCAAATATTATCACATACACGTAACACAAATAGACATATAAACACATAGAAATAGCTCTTATACCTAGCTCTCATAAAGGACTTTCATTTGCTGGCTTTTAAATAGTTTTTCTTTCCTTTTTTTTTTTTTTTTTTTTTTGAGACAGAGTTTCATTCTTATCGTCCAGGCTAGAGGGCAACGGCACAATCTCAGCTCACTGCAACCTCCACCTCCCGGGTTCAAGCAATGCTCCAGCCTCAGCCTCCCGAGAAGTAGGGATTATAGGCGCCCACTACCATGCCTGGCTAATATCTGTACTTTAAGTAGGGACAGGGTTTCTACATGTTGACCAGGCTGGTCTTGAGCTCCTGACCTCAGGTGATCTGCCCGCCTTGGCCTCCTAAAGTGCTGGGATTACAGGCATGAGTCACCACACCTGGCCTTAAATAGTTTTTTTTTTTCTTCCCCATTCAGTCTATCAATCTTCCAGTTACCTGCTTCATTGCCCAAAGCAATTGTTAACCAGGCAACAAATTTGCATTTCTAAAGGTAAAACTCATAGGTGGAACAAAAAATATTTATATTTCATAAGCACAGAGCTAAGATTTTAGGCCTAAGTATTGTATCATCATTTCCTCAAATAAGGGAAACAAACCTGCTCAAATAAAAGTTCACTTAAGAAAAGATGGCCAGAAAAGCACCTTAAACAAAAGTATGACTTAACATGTAAATTTAAAAGAATGGTAAAGTTTCTAATGCACATGGGCAGACATCCTTAAAAATCAAGATCTCCTTTATAGATGTAAATTTCTTTTACAAAAGAGTTTCAAGATAGCCAATTAAATTCCAGAAAGGTGTATTTTCGTTCAATATGGTGTTCTTTTTAACTTTGCTACTGTTTCTTAGCTAAAACTACTGAGTTCAGGGTAATGGGTGGAGCCCATTAAGGAATAGGGCCATCATGAAAGCATTTTTTATGCCTGGACTCAGCATAGATAGATCTGAAAAAAAAGGCAGATCTATTTTACATGAGGGCCTACCTTTTATAAGCACTTTATCTAGGATAGCATTCTTTCTACCTTTGGGATGGGACAGTAACTAAGACAAAAGGCTAGCATATTTAATTTTTCTTATCAATTAGTTGCTTAAGGTTTTTATTTGTCTTTTATACAGTCTTTAAATAAAAATATGAAAATCTTTTTAGAAGCTTCTGCTGCAGTGTTGTTCATTTGGAACATTCCACTGTAACTCATCTTTAGTAAGATTTCACCTTTTCTGCAAGGCTTTGCTGCTTCCAGGGCCTAATACTTACACATGTATAAGCCAGAAGAACTCAGTTCTTCAGAAATTAAGGATCCCATTTTCACCTCAAATATTGCCTTTGGCTTTCAGTTTCCCTGGTCAACTTAGCCAAAGATTTTTTTCCTACCTGAGTGTGCAAGAAAAATATAACAAAATGGGTAGAACACAAAAATCCCTGTGAATTTCCAAAAGCCAAATTTTACAGCTACAGCCCCTGCAATATTGCCATTCAGTCCTCCATAAGAGGCATCTAACTGGATTCAAGCCAGTTAATTATCAATCCTGGACCCAGTCCAGTTTCTGTTGGGACTTCCAAACCCAGTTTGGTTCAGAAATTTGCTCAAAGAAACTGAGAGAGCCCAAAATACAAATCCATAGAGCTTTGGAATTCAAGAGGGAATTTACCACAATTTCCAGCTGCTCTGAGAGAGCAATGGACATAATGGGCCCGGTGGGTACCTCGCTTGGTCACTCAGTGCTCAGGGGGGTTGTTAGAAGCTCTACTTCAGATCTTACTTCTCACACCATTTGTTAAAAGAAAAACCTTAGCCGAATTAATTTTAAGAGTTTAATTGAGCAAAGAATAATCCACAAATTGAGCAGCCTGTTAAGCCAGAGTAGGCTCAGAGACTCCAGTGAAGCTATGTGGTGGAAGAAGATGTATGGACAGAAAATGAAAAGTGATGTACAGAAAACAGAAGTGAGGTTCAGAAACACCTGGATTGGTTATAGTTGGGTGTTTGCCCTATTTGAACATGGTTTGAACACTTGGCCACCTCTGATTACCCAAAACTCAGTAATTGATACAAGAGTTGGCTACGGTCTGTATCAAACTCCTTTTAGGTTATGTTATAGTTCATGATGTACAAAGAAACCTTTAGGTTGAACTTAAAATATGTAAGGAGGCAGCTGTAGGCTTAACTTGATTTAACATCAAATTTATCAACTTGATACATTAATTACTGACTTCCTATTATAAGGATTTGACAGTTTTATTTTATGTCCTACTGCCACTTTCCCACCTTCCAACTCGTGATAACAATCATTTTCAGTCAATGTTCAGTGTTTCTGCTATTTTGATCATATAATTGTTATTCGCTGCCAAACCAAATAATATAATTCCATTTTCTTTCTTGTACAACATTTTTGTTTTCCCATAGATACTGACTTTTTATTTAAGCTTAACTTTATATTACTAGCACAAATTCTTCACAAATTCTCCAAAAAAAGATAGAACTCTTCTGACTGCCATTTTTCATAAAGTTAAATCATCAGTCAGTTTATTTTTTGTTTCTGTTTCTACTATATTTTTAATGTCCATGAGTTTTTATATTATTCTCCCAACATTCCTCTTTAATAGAAAACTCTTCTTGGTTTGGGGATGCTTTCTCTCTCCAAGGTTGTTGACCAGTCATGCACTATACAACGATGTTTCAGTCAATGACAGACCACATATATGATGGTGGTCCCATAAAATTATAATGAAGTTGAAAAGTTCCTATTGCCTAGTGATGTCCTAGTCATCATAACATCATAGCACAGTGTATTACTCATGTGCCTGCAGGAATGACTATGTAAACAAATCTACTGCATTAATAGTCATATAAAAGCACAGCACATACAATTACATACAGTACATAATACCTATAATGATAATAAATGACAATGTTACTGGCTTACGTATTTACTGTACTACATATATTTTTAAATTCAGTCTTGAGTTGAAACTCATATACTACACTTTTAATCATTATTTTAGAGTGTATTCCTATGTACAAATACATATATACAGTTAACTGAAAAGCAGCCTCAGG